TCAGGTGGCCTAATTGACATAGTAGGTCCTAGCAGAGTGTGGGTGACACCGTGGTCTTGGGCAAGTAGTCTTGAGCTCTAAAAAAAAAAAAAAAAAAGCTATCAAGCATGAACCTGTGAATGAACCAGCAAACAACATTCCTCCATAGTTTCTGCTCCAAGTTCCTGCCTTGAATTTCTTCCCTGACTGCTCAGTGATGGAGTGTAATCTGGAAGTGTGAGCCAAATAAATGATTTCTTCCCAAGTTGGCTTTGGCCATGGAATTTCATCCCAGCAATAGAAACCAGACGAAGATAATATCAGATTACAAGATAATTCGCTCCTTCACTGTGAATGTTAGGAATGAAGCTCAGCTCCTCAGGCTTGAGCACCAAGAGTTGTTACCACAGGCTTGCCCACCAAGAGCTGTTACCTCAGGCTTGCCAATTGATACCCAAGGAAAAAATAGCACTCACTTGACTCATATGATTACTGGTGATGGCTCAAAGGCTAGCCAAGAGCTCAGTGCTCAGAATAATGTTCCACTAAGAACAAATTCATTTTTATCGTTGCTGTTGTTGTTATTTGTTTGTTTCTTTTAAGACAGATCTAATGGAGCTCAGACTGACCTCCAATTTGCCAAAGATGACCTTGAACATTTTGGGGGTTTGGGAGTGATTCAAGACAGGGTTTCTCTGTGTAGCTCCGGCTGTCCTGGAACTCCCTCTGTAGACCAGGCTAGCCTCAAACTCAGATATCTGCCTGCCTCTGCCTCCTGAGTGCTGGGATTAAAGATGTACACCTTGGATCCTGGTTGACCTTGAACTTTCAAATTATGTATTTACTTATTTGGAGGGTGGGATGCAAACTTGCCGTAATACACTCACTACATAACCCAGAGTAGCTTTAAATTCGAAGCCATCTTCCTGCCTTCAGCATCCTAAGTACTGATATTATAGGCATGAGCCACTAGGCCCCGATATAGAATGGAAGTCCAGCATGGGGGGAGGGGCAACGATGTCAGCCCTCAGTCCACAGAACTATAAAATCGAGTAAATGCCCTTAGCGGCCTCTGCCCTCTGCCACCCCTCCTAAGAGATCCCTGTACTGTTTTTCATCCCATCTCCACCTGCTCTCCAGGGGGCTTTGATACCTCTTCTGGCCTAAGGGGCTGAGGATGTCCTGGGGGAGGGGGCTACTCTAGGTAGCTCTGAAGAACAAAGCTGTGGCTTTTGCCTCCAGATATACATATACCTACACTCCAGTCCTCCAGGACGAGGGACTCGAACCCAGGGCCTTGCATACACCACTCAGCGCTCTACCACCAGGCTTCCCACCCAGCTTCCTATTTAACTTCAGATTACACAAGCCAAAGTCCACCATTAGGCCGCTAAAGCTAGAAGATTTGTGGGCTGTGAAAAAGGCTTAAAGGTTCGTTGATGGGAAGCTGGTTCTAATGACAGTATAGAAGGGCTGAGTCCCAGCCTGGGTCCAAGGTCGTTCGTATATAAAACAGCTGGAAAACAACTACAACAACAAAACACAACACAGCAAAACAAAACAAAATGGATGCTTCCCCTAATGCCCGTACAGTGCTAACACACGTGGGGACGGTTTCGGTGGCCCACGGAGATAATCCTGTGATCAGCAGATGGAGACCAGAAGAAAATCTGGACGTGGTCTTCTTTTCTAATTGGGTACTCAGAATTTGGGACTCTCCTGTTCAAACCCGGGTCTTCTATTCCAAGTCTTTGATTGGCTAATATAATCTGTGGGAGCAACTCTCTGCTTTCCCTGGTGTTGTTTTGGGGGATACTGGGAGATGGTCTGAGTCCACGTTAGCGCTACAGAGGGACCCCGGGTGGCCCTGCAGGATGAGCACACAATCCCAGTCAATAGATGGGGCAGCTTGACTCTGCCCAAGTCCCATTGTAAGGAAAACCTTCTGGGGCAGGGACGCAGCGCCACCGTGTGGTAGAAGACTTACTGTCCAGCCCGGCACAATTTTTTCTTTCCTTCCTTCTTTCCTTCCTACCTTCCTTCCTTCCATCCTTCCTTCCTTCCTTCCTTTCCTTCCTCCCTTTCATTCTTTCTTCCTTTTTTCTTTCTTTCCTTCCTTTCTTCTTTTGCAGCTAGTTCCTCTTTTATTTTATTAATTTATTTTTTACATTCCAATCCCAGTTCCCCCCCCCCCCCCCCCCCCTTCTTTCCCGCCCCCCCCCCCCACTTGCATCACGAAGAGGGTAAGGCCTCCCCTAGGAAGTCTACTAAGTCTGTCCCATCATCTTGTTGAGGCAGGACTAAGGCACCTGTCCACCCCCACACCCCTGTGTCTACCAGCATAGTTTTTCTGAAGACCCAACAGAACTCACTAGTTCTTTGTGGACTCATTGGAGCACTCCCTAGATCCCAGGAAAGTGATGAGGAACACCTACCCGACTAAAGCCTAGTGTTCTGTGCCAGGCAGACTTCGCCACTCTCAGCTCACCTCTTAGGAGATGCCTGAGTCCTTATGGACTCTTGGCATGCTTTCTCTAGAATGGGGATACCAAAAGAATTTTTAAAAACTGACAGTAGTGCCTGGCTATGTGCTGTTGTTCAAGGAGAGGAGGCTCAGAGATGGTGCCTGTAGCACAATCATGACGACCGGAGTTCGGATCCCAGCTCCCACATAACAAGCTCATCATCTACACAGACTTCTAATCCAGCACAAAAACGGATCTAAGGCCTTCTTCTGGTCTCCACACACTCACAGGCATGGGCACCCCACATATGAGCACAAATGTAGATGCACAAATAAAAATAAATCTTTTTTAAAAAAAAAAAGAAAGAAACTATAGTTTCCTCTCCTTCCTTCCAAGCTGGTCCAGGAAATCCAAGAGTGTGCAAAGGCAAGGCTGAAGAGGAGCCAAACTCCAAAGCCGAAGATGAGAAACTTCCCTACCTCACTCCCACAGAAAAACACTTTGCTAGTTCTCCCTGGAACCCCTTCAGTTTAGAGTGACAGGCCAACCTGGTTTGCAGGGCTTGGCGGATTTCTCAGAACTGGTCACCCAGTCCTCATCTCTCCTCCAAGTCCAGCTCACCGGCTTCCTGAGTATAGGTGACAATCTCTAAAGCTGCAGCCTGGGACCCTGCATGGCCACACACTCCCCAGGCAAGTCTCATGTATCCTGTGGCTTGTGAAGCATGCTGCAGTGCTCCTCGGTGGTGGTCCTCCCCAGAGCCAAGTATAAGCCATATTCTTCAAGTAGACAGTAAGTCCCAGGGTTCAAGGCCCAGCATACCCCAGTGCTGAGACCTTGGGACAACTCCAGTGAACTTTATAACACCAGGCTCCAGCTGTTGTCTGGACAGTAAACCTCTACGTGAGAACTGGGCACTAGTTTTTCACTTAGCTTTAGAGTTTGTGCCCATGTCTTGTTCCTATATTAACCTTCCATTCATTCATCGTGGGTGGTGTGCAGATTGATTGGCACCATGGGACCTAAAATCTGACTGGAATGATAGGAGGTGAACTATTAATAATTGGATAAATGAGACCCCCCTGCCCCCTCTTTTATGGGAGAGCAATAAAGATAAGAATTACTGCAGAGAGGATAGTTCAAATAGTTTCTACTTCTTGGGCATCTATTGTACTGATGTGCATTAGTTTTGTGGTTAGTTTTACTGTAATAATAGAACTAAAGAGCTGCTCAGGAATACAACTGTAAGAGTGTGGTCATGGAAGTTTGTAAGTTCTCCTAAAATAGGTGATGTAGTGTCTTGTAAACCTACTTGAGAAGGATAGACCATATAAGATATGTAAAGGTTAGTCTATAATTCAACCTTTACAAAGTTATGTAAAGTTTGAAACATGGTAGTTTCAAATCATCATAATAAGCAAAATCTAGAGAATGGTATGATGGGGGCAACTGCACTTCCCCTCATCTGAGGAAGGATGTTTGACGGAGCCCAGATGGTTGAGTGGCCAGCTACCCTAAGATTTGGGGAAGATGATCAAAGATACGGACTGGCTTTTGCAAAGGCCCTGAGGCAGAAATAAGAGACAGAAACAGAAATCCAACTGGCCTCTTCTGGTGGCCACCATTCCTGAGTGATAGCAGAGCTTTAGAAAGAGGGGAATGGAAATTTCCCAGATACTTATGCACCCCCCCGCCCCGCCCACAACTGCAAATGCCAGGGGATGGTGGGTGCCTTGAACCGGGGGTGGGAAGAGGAGCTGCAGACAGGGGGTCTAACATAGGGAATGGGAACGGAGCAGATCCTTCACCCAGGTCCCACGCTCGTGGTCCATTTGGTCTTGGAGAGCCACCCGGAAGCAGTGGCCTGGATCCGGGCGAGGGCAGCGCCTCCTCCGCGTCCGCAGGAAGCCACCCGGCATCAGGAGCGCCCGGGACCTAGGTCTACATTGCATCCCCGGTCTGGGATGCGGTTTAAACAACCGACTAACGAACGGGAAGGGCAGTCGGCGGCCGACTGAGATCCACCGCTGTTTGGACACCGCTCAGGAGCTACAAAGCAGGCCGGAAAAAGGGGGCCCGGCTCCTTTGCGAGTTTGTTTTCCGCTCGGGCTGAGACAGGAAGCGAGGAGACCAGGGGGACCCCAACTCCTTCCTGCACGAATATAAAATGACCGCAAAGCTCAGCTCCAAAAGAGTCGTGCTCCAGGTGAGGCTCGAACTCACAACCTCGGCATCGCTCTGCATGTACTGCTGTATAAGTACCGCGCGCTAACCGATTGCGCCACTGGAGCTCCGCTAAGCCGGCCTCGCGAAGGCTCTATCAGGCCCAGGGAGGCGTCAGTGGAGCATGCGCAGCCGCCACCGGCGGGCGCCGCCCGGGGCTCCCGCCCCCCCC